CAGAAGACCTACTCGTTGCTCGCAACGAGATCTCATCTAGTTAAGGTCTTCCGTCTTCAGCGGAAGACCTTTCTGTTATTCTTAGGTTTCTTTTCCACAGTTTTTATTATTTTTTTTCTTACATATTTTGTGCACGCGAGTTCTCGAAAACGCCTTGATCGATTTTCATGAAACTTTCAGGAATGATAGAACATCAAAAAATCTAGATATATATTTTTTTGTTTTGATGACGTCACTTCCGGTTCGGAGATTTCTGCGATTTTGTCATTTTTAGAGGGTCACTTTGTCCGGCAATGTTCTCAAAAATCATTGAAGATAGAAGTGTGAATTTTTGAGGGATGCTAGAGCAAACTTTGGAGAAGTGCCTTTTGTATATCACAACTACCGGAAGTACGAAGCGCCGACGCTCGCTATGGCCCGAAAATAGACCTATCGCGAATTTCAAAATTTTTAACATCTTTTCTACGATAGCTTTTTACCTGGAAATATTTTGTTAAAACATATAGAACAAAAGAAGTGTAGAATTCCAAGATCTTTCAAATGATATCTTGTAAAAAGGGCTGGTCCCTAAAATTAAGGGCCTAGAGGGGCCGAAAGTTTTTTCTTTATATCTCAAAACGTATCGAGAATTTGTAATACATCAAAGAAGCAAAGTTGTCCAAAATGTTAAGCTTAATCTTTTGGCGTCTTCAAAATACGTCCGGCGTCGTCACTTCCGGCAAAACCGGAAGTGGTCGGAAAACGCGTATTTTTGCCGAGCTTGGGAAGTTTTTGGGTAACATATGTCTCTGGGAGCATAAAAATTAATTTTCCGTCCGTCGTCGTCACTTCCGGTCAAACCGGAAGTAGCAAAAATGGCTTATTTTTGCATTAATTAACATAGTTTTAGATGATTCAACCCATTTTTTGGCGTTATTTCTCATTTTTGTTAAAAATGAAAGCTACTTCCGGTCGAACAGGACGGAAGACCTACTCGTTGCTTTGCAACGAGCTTTGCTCTAGTTATTATTATTATTCTTTTTTTTCTTCTTTGTTCTCCGGTACTTTTTTTGTCCGCGAGTGTTCTCAGAAACTGTTCACCCAACTAAGTTAAAACCTTTTTAGGGTTAATAGGTGTCAAGTGTAGGTGTGCACAACGAAGGTCATTTTGCGCGCATACGCATGCACGTGCGTGCGCGTGAAATGAGTGAAATGACTGATATACTTATTATAGCCATAACTTTTACATTTTTTATTGAAATGCTTTGAAACTCATTCTATAAGGATATATCAATAGTCTAGATAATAACACATGGTCAAATTAGCACGAACTCACGTGCATGCACGTGCGCTTCCCTCTGATTGGCTTAAACTTTAAATGGGTATAACTCCTTTGATTTTCAACCAAACAGGATGGGATTTAGAACATAGATAGACATAGTAGATTCCTACAAAAAGGTAAGGTCATCATGCACATGCATGCATGTGCATGCACGTGAGATGGGTAAAATCAAAAATACACTTGATGAAGCGTATTTTTTAATACTTTTCGATTAAATGCTTTATTATTTTATTATATTAATGTATATAGATAGTGTAGACAAGAGAATATGGTCATTACGCACATGCATTTACATGTGCACGCGTGCAAATGCTAAAATTTGAATATACTCGGTATACTTCAGGGAAACGTTGTTAAAGTGTAAAATGCATAGAGTTTGTCATTTTTAATGAAGCTTAAAGGGAGTATGGCACCAAAAGGGAGTTGGGGAGCGTTTGGGGAACATCTGTAACGGTTCCCGTTACAATTAGCCCTAGTTTAATGTGTTTTAATTTAAAGACCTAAAATCCAAAGATATCTCGTATTTAAGTATTTTTCAGGCTCTATCACTTTCTAGAAAACGAAGTGCAAATTTGTACAAATTTAATACAGAATATGCTTAATTTATTGTAATCAATGAACAACAAAAAATACTTTTCTTTAACCGTTCATATTTTTTTTTTACTTTCAGTCTTTTCACCTCTTGAACTTAACTATAATTAGTACAAAAAGGGATCAACATCGAATTTTAATGCTAATTCGTTAATGAATTACTCTTCAATACCACCATTGCTTTTGATCTTGTACCATGAAAAAGAAATAAACCAATCTTTTATGAACAATCTTTAATGCAGCAATTTAGCATTAAGAGTTTTTGTAACTATATCATGTTAATATTAAATCATATTTAATGTTAAGATTGAATAATTGTATGTTGTTTTCCGCCCCATGCGAGAATTTTTCATTCATAAAGAGACGATACAAAATCCAGTGAAGGTCTTAAATTCCATATTCTTTTGAACAGTGAAAGTATTGTATCGTGACAAGGTCTGCCGTGACATGGACCCTTGGATTTTTAAAGTTTCACCCGAAGCACCCTCAACTTTTACTTCAAAGAGCCAAGTGCTTGGCAAAGGAATAGTTGCTACCTATTTTTATCAGTTTAGGTCAGTCGCGGTCAAGATTTGGATCAAGGAGCAAGTGCTCTTCTTACTGAGCTATCATGAACGGTCAAAATGTTGAGAATATGGCAAAAAATATAAAGCGTTGCTATGGAAAAAAGATCAAAAAGCTGCATAATAGTGTATGGATTATGCATAAACTGTGATGAGAAATGTATTTACCATAGCTTGAAATGCAAGTGCAAGTTTGGTTTTTCATCTCACATGGACACAATATTGGCAATTATACAGTTATTTTTTTACGGAAAAATAGCTATGATCATCACCACATTTTGATTAGTATATATATACAATGCTATAGTTATATCATTTATATTTTTTTAATCTACAAGTATTATCATGTCATCATCATATGAGATGAAGTAGGACTATTTATCTTATTGTGGTTTGATGGAGATTAGTCTGGGCTCCATCTCTGACAACTGCCGTAAAGATTGGTTCAGGGAATCCAAATGTCATAACATAGCTCTGTTACACAAAATAGAAAAAAAATAACAACCTCTAATTAATTTGTGGACATTTCATAACAAGTCAGTCGTACTGGAACGTTATGCAAAAATTCACGTGGAAGAAGTGGCGCTTATAGAGACTGACGTATGAAATTCATGTGGGAAAAGGATTATTAAAAAATCTTTTGGAAAGTGCAAGAGATTTATAAGTGGCCATGCGTTATATATAATGATGCCTTAATACTAATAGGCCTACAATTCTTGATTAAAGTCTGGTTGTGGACACCTCATAGGGTATAAGCGTGAGTAGAAAGGGTCTTCATATAAATGCAGTGAGTATTTACCCTAGTTATGTTCCCCAAACGAAGTTGGGGAACATATTGTTTTTACTCTGTTTCTTATTATTATTATTATTTTTCTTCCTGGGAAAATTTTGTCCTCGAGTGTTCTTGTAAACTACACATCCGACTAAGGTAAAATGTTTTTAGGGTCAGTAGACATGTTATGTAGATTTGCCGAACAAATGTCATTTTGCGCGCACGTGCTTGCAAGAGCGCGCACGTGCAACATTAGAAATGACCAATATAATGTATATTGCCTTAACTTTTCTATTTTTTGATGAAATGCTTTGAAACTCATAATGTAAGGATATATAAGTAGTATAGACAAGATGACATGGTCAAAATAGCAAGATCTCACGCGCATGCTCGTGCGCTTTGCTCTGATTGGCTGAAACTAAAGTCTCAATATCTTTCTTGTTTTTTGACGAAATCCTTTGAAATTTTGTACATAGCCATGCATTACGATATCCAACAACATGATATATAGCAGTGATCATGAAAACACGTGCATGCACGTGTGCTGCAATCTGATTGGCTGAAACTTTAAAATGCCATAACTCCCTTGATTTTCAACCAAACAGGAAGGGATTTGGAACATAGATATACATAAGGGCCTTCTATAAGAAGGTGTGGTCGCCATGCACATGCATGCACGTGCGTGTACGTGCGCTGCAATCTGATTGGCTGAAAGTTTAAACAGCTATAACTCAATTGGTTTCCAACCAAAATGGATGGGATTTGGTACATAGATATATATAGTGTACTTCTACAATAAGGTATGGTCACCATACACATGCATACATGTTCGTGAACGTGCGCTGCAATTTGTTTGGCTGAAACTTTAAACAGCTATAACTCCCTTGGTTTTCAACCAAACAGGATGGGATTTGGAACATAGATATATATAGTGGACTTCTACAAGATGGTATGGTCACCATACACATGCATACATGTGCGTGAACGTGCGCTGCAATCTGATTGGCTGAAACTTTAAACAGCTATAACTCCCTTGGTTTTCAACCAAACGGGATAGGATTTAGAACATAGATAGATGTTATATACTTCTACAAGAAAGTATGGTCACCATGCTCATGTATGCACGTGCGTGCACTTGAAATGGGTAAAATCAAAAATACACTTATATGAGCGTTTTTTTAATACTTTTTGATTAAATACTTTAATATTTAGCATATTAAAATACAAAGATTGTGTAGACAATATGATATGGCCATTATGCACATGCATTCACATGCGCAAGTGTGCAATGCTAAAACTTGAATGAACTTGGCGTTGTTAAAGTCTCAATTTAATTGAGATTTAATGAAGTTTACAGGGAATATGGCACCAAAAGGGAGTTGGGGGAGCGTTTGGGGAACATCTGTAACGGTCCCCGTTACAATTAGCACTAGTTACCCATCAAATTGATTATTTCGTTTCATATTTCTCTCAACACAAGAATACATTTGCTTATCTTCCTTCAATGAATAAAACACATAGGGCAGTTTGTCCTGAGGTGCTACCTTTTGTGAAGAATAACTTTTTTTTATATATTCTCAAAAGTTTCATTAACAGTGGCATAGTATTTTAGCATAAAAAAAAACATATAATGATGACAGATAGACCAATTTCCAAAGGAAGATAATCCGCATTATCAATTATTACCTACACTTAGATTTAAAAAAATTATGAAAATGGGTCAACTGTGAGTAATAAATGTCTGTTTTCAGACATGTCCTCCTGCAGTGAGGGTTGGATGCAATACCTGGATCACTGTTATCTCCTCAGGACTACACCTACCAGCTGGGACAATGCCATTGTAAGATCATTCAGTTTTTATTTGAAAGATAAAAGTGGGCTTTTGTATTTATATCTTTAAAAATATATAACAAGATCATATTAAAAAGACGTAGATTTTTGTTATTTTTTTTTCTTATTTATGGTTGCATAATGAACAAATTAGGTATATAATTTTAACAAAAAATCTTTAAGATTTTAAATAAAAAAATCAAATATGCCATGCTGGAAATCAAGATTAAGAAACATAAAATTCAAGCATGTAAGTATTTTGCATTTTTTCCATATCTACAAAGGTTTTATTAATTCAAATAAAGAATTCCAAAGTTTCCGAATGAGCTTAGCTGAAGAAATATAATCTAGTGAATCAAAATTCCGTATTGCCGTATTCGATTTACAACAAAGAAATATATAATTCCATAGTAAGCGATTGGCGCTGAACTATTACAATGCATTAGTTTTATCTTTAGTTTTTTTTTTTTACAGCTCTATGCTTCGGACCATAAATCTTAGAGGAGATCTGCCCCACTTTTACACAGTTAACTTTTTTTTATGAAAATGAGATTGAAATCAAAATTAAGCCTGTCTATGTTTAGGGATCTAGGGTGCTATATTTAATATTTTCTTTTAATTACTAATATGAAAACAATTTCTTTTATGACTAAAATACATGTAATTAAAACATTTTACATTTGACTGTTGACTTGTCTTACCATTCAGCTACAATGTCAGAGTCTTGGATCCTATTTGGTAGAGATCGAGACGAAAGAAGAAGATGAATGGATTCGTAAAATAGGAGCATTAGGTATGTACATATAAGTACACGGAAGAATAGTAGTATTAGGTATGTACATATAAATACACTGAAGAATAGTAGTATTAGGTATGTACATATAAATACACTGAAAAATAGTAGTATTAGGTATGTACAAATAAATGCACTGAAGAATAGTAGTATTAGGTATGTACATATAAGTACACTGAAGAATAGTAGTATTAGGTATGTACATATAAATACACTGAAAAATAGTAGTATTAGGTATGTACATATAAATACACTGAAAAATAGTAGTATTAGGTATGTACATATAAATACACTGAAGAATAGTAGTATTAGGTATGTACATATAAATACACTGAAGAATAGTAGTATTAGGTATGTACATATAAATACACTGAAGAATAGTAGTATTAGGTATGTACATATAAATACACTGAAAAATAGTAGTATTAGGTATGTACATATAAATACACTGAAGAATAGTAGTATTAGGTATGTACATATAAATACACTGAAGAATAGTAGTATTAGGTATGTACATATAAATACACTGAGAAATAGTAGTATTAGGTATGTACAAATAAATACAGTTAATACACTGAACTATTTATACATGTATATAAATCATTTGGTGATATTATTGGTTTACTACTTTTAACGGTGCAGAGTATAGAAAGTTGTTCAAATAGAATAGGAATATCTTATATTTATAATGAAATATATTTTTTTTCAAAATGTTATTTCATGTTATTTAGGTCCACTAATCTCAAAAGTTTAATGAATAAGAAACAGTAACGCTTCTCATATTTAATAAACAACTATTAAATAAAACGGAATATTTAAATGCAAAAATTATATTGACATTCATTATGTTAGAAGAAGTTTTTGCTCTAAAAACTCTTTTCGTCTTTGAAATATTTATCAACTGGTACACTGTAAGATGCAATATTAATGTCACAGTATATTTCACTTGTGATATAATACACATGAAACCAAATACCTCTGCAGTCAGAATTTGTCCTGGGGTCTGACTATGGGGAGGACTCACTCTACAACGTTGGTGTAAAGACGAATAATGACCCCCATCGAATAATGACCTGGGGTCAAAAAAAGACCCCCGGTCAATATTCTACGGCGAAAAATGACCCCCGGTCATTAATCGACGTAGAAAAATGACCCTTTTGTCCGTAGAAAATGTGTCATCACCCTAAAAATTTGCAGAACCCACGTGAAGAAAAATGACCCCCGTAGAAAAATGACTCCCTGTGGATTTAAGCTGAAATATTTTTAGGGGGCAAAAAAAAATTAGATAAACAAGCATGTTGGCCAAAATGCTCACCTGAGCTTATTTGGAATAAATTGATGATATGTATATGATATATCTCATAACATACAATTATAGCTATATTTGAAGGTCAATGCGATGATTCAGAATCTAAAGGAGTAAAGATTTCGATGGTGGAAATCATCGTACTGACAGAAAAAATCAGCAGTATCATATATTATTATATCCTCCGCTTGAAAAGCAGGAGGGTATATAGTGATCGGGATGTCCGTCCGCCCGTCTGTTACGCTTCGGGGTATCCATTTGTTATCCGCAACTCCTCTTATATATAAAAAGAGGTGTTTGTGAAACAGCTATGCCCCTGTATTGCAACATAGCGAAGATTAAACTTTTCTTAAGTGCAATTTAAATATAATTGTACCCAAAAGTAGGGTCTTCTCACAAGAAATACAATTGCAAAATAGGAAAGCCCTAGCACCACTTGTTCAAAATTAATGGCTAAGGATAAGTGTTTGAAAGACCGTAGGTCAAACTCAAAGGTCAAAGTTGCTGGATTCTTAACAAAGGTTTAATGTAACAAGGATTACATTTGTGAAATATGAGAGTACTAGTATCTACCGTTTAAAAGTTATAGCCAAATTAAATTACAAATTTGGCATTTTTATGTAAAATGGGACAAACCCCAAGGTAAAGGTCAAATGGTCAAATTTGGTGGTACCCAAAGTAAGGTCTTGTCACAAGGAATATACACATATTGAATATGAAAGGCATAGCTACAATAAATGATCGAAAAAATATGGTCAAGGTTACAGTTTTTGCGGAGAAACAGACCGCCAGATAGACAGACAGTCATACAAATGGACACGATAAAACTATATACCCCCGCATCTTCGATTACAGGGACATAAAAAAATGATCTTCAATTAACTTTTCATATTATGATACAGTATAAAGAAGACGTTACAAAAATGAAAATGTTTGTTCTGATTTTCATACTCTCTGAAAAATATACTCAGAACTAGGTAAAAGGGTTGAGTAAAACAAGAATGAAGAAATGCAATGAATACTGTGTGCTAAATCAAAAGGTTATGTATACATGTATAGTTTTTGCATTAGAATGTGTATTTTACACTAGCCCATAGCTTTACAGAGCATATTTTTAGGTGTTATACCCACCCACCCCCTTACTTATTTAGGAGGAAGTCGATTATCAACAAAAACAGCAAAAACTACCCTACCTTTATTTTTCTATAAAGAGGGACTAAAAATAAGCTTAAAATAATCTACTATTCTACTAATTTTCAACTGTTACTTTGCCACAATACTTTCAAGTATACCCCCACCAACATTTAAAGTATGCTTTAATCATGGCGAAGTAAATTATGATATGATAGAACTTGTGTGAAGGCTTAACTTCATTTCAATATTTTATCTAGAGCCTCTTTCAGTATTATTGAAAGGTAGAGAATTTTATTGATATTTTTGCTTTTCATTTATTATTATTATTTCTATTTTTTGATTTAACGTAATTTTTTTTTTGGGGGGGGGGGGTTAAAATTTCCTCCTCTGTCATTGTCAAATAGGATTTGCCAAATTTATACAAGCTAATCGTTGAAATGAATGAAAAAATCAATTTTCTATTAAAGGGTATTGGAACCTGATTGTTGCATGGTTTGATTTCTCAAATCAATTGGAATATCATTCTTTAAGCAAACATTATAAGGAGGAATATCAAAAAGAAATTTTATTTACTTGACAATTAAAGAATCTCTTTTTCACTTTAAAGGGGGTCATTTTTCAATGGGGGTGAATTCTTTATAGGACTAACATATAAAATAATGACCCCTAGGTCACTTTTTCTACAAAAAATGATTTATTTCTACGGGTAGGGGGTCATTTTTTTGTCGTTGAAAAATGACCCCCGGTCATTATTCGATGGGGGTCTTTATTCGTCTTTACACCGGTACACTCAGATTTTTAAATGAACATAATAGTAATAGTTATAATTATCTTGTTTGTCTTTCATTGTTCAGAAATCCCGTCGGTGAATGGTATTTGGACAGGAGGTACTGTCTTTGGAAATGAACACTCCTTTATCTGGAATAATAGCAAGAAAGAACTTAACTATACAAACTGGGAAGAAAATGAACCAAATAATTATGGAGGCAACGAGGACTGTTTGGTAATTATTGTTCCCGACGGAAACTGGTATGATGAGATTTGTGACAAGCAATACCAATTTGTATGTGAGAAAAAACATCCATTTTGAAAACAGCAGTTTATCAGAAGAACTGGAAAACAATCATACATTTATAATGCAACACATGCAAAAGAAATATTCATTTGGCTTGAACTGAAACAAAGAATAACTTTCATATCATAGACACATTAATTTTTATTTGTGTTTTAATGGTTGTTAAGCGTACCTTTCGAAAAAAATTAACTCATACAGAGACACCAGCACTTGCTAGTGGAAAAATGTTAATTTTGCGTATACTTGGAACTTGGTACTTGGTAGAGAAAATACGACAATCGAAATATATCAGAAGTAGGATCGGGTATCATGGAGGAGCAAGCTTTTCCTATCCAAAAGCCACATGCGCTCCTTGTTTTGATTGGGTGAATGAAATAACAGGTAGAAAATGATTTAAGTTTTTATGAAAAACAGTGGTTAATATTTGATATGTATAATACGCAGCATTGTTAAGGCTGAAAAAAAGGGCGGGGCCTTATTTATACGGGAAAAGTTTACTGTGACGTCACACAAGTTATGACTTGTATGTATTCCTCATAATACTAGAAAATGAAATAATTTGCAACTTGAAACTGTACTAGCATAATAAACAACAATAAAAATTATCAATCCATTAAAGAAAAGTTGCTAGTTTAATCCCATACAGATGGTTTTAAACGAATCACTGATTGCGATGAACTTGCCAACATGACGTCATTTTGGTTTTAAAAAAAAAAGACGTATTTCATGTGCTATGAGAGGCATTTTAAGATTTTTGTTGTTGACAATGAAAAATGCGTTTTATTTTTAAACAGAATATTATTTACAGGTTTCAAACAGGCTATTGATACCAATGTATGTCCTTTGTTTAGCGCGAGTATTCATTAACTATCAAGAGAATGTATTTAATTAATTTTGTCGTGTTTTTATGTACATGTAAAGTACATGTATATTTTACATCGAAACCTCATTAAATCATTCTCTCGCAAGGGCATACACATACAGATCTTAACCATTTTTTGTAGATTAATAAAGGATATTTTCCTTAACTTGAAGAGTGTTGCTGTTTTCTTTAAGTCTGTATCGTGACTTTATAAGTACCAAAAATATTTGGTAAAAGTCAAACATATTTCGACATGGGCTTATTTAGTTGAAATTTTAACTATTAAAACGCGACTTCTAGTCAAAGCAGCAGACCTTTCCAGAAAGTACAAAGTATGCAGAAAAAAATAATAACTTGAAGTTTTAATTTCAACTAGGGTATGCCCTTGCGATATTGAAATGTGTTAATGACGTACATTCAATAAGGGTACTATGCATTCATCACGTGACTGTCCATCGATGGGACCAAACTTCATACAGTACAGAGTGGATTATACTATGCTATTTCCATAAGTATTTAAGTTCTGTGATAATACAACAGATTAAAAAAGATAAATTCAACTTTAAAAAATTCCAGTTTTTGCACGTCTATTTCCAGTTGCTTGCATTAACAGTGCTGCGAGAAATTTTTAACTGGGTTCGAGGGTTAAATGAATTTTGTCAGACTAAGTACCAAACTGTTGCCTGATGCCGTTAGGCAAATGTTGCCTTGTAAATCTTATCATTGCAAGCAATGCATGATCAATGAAATTCAAAAGGCAGGAAAATGAGACGGGTTCCGTGCAAATTAAACGTACATCAATACTTCCTTTTACATGCTGTTTTCTAGTTTGTTCGATCCCGCACAGAAAGCTGAATACGATTCATTGGTTAATGCCATATAGATAAAGTTGACGCAGGCTGTATGTAGCGAGAGGCTGACGAAGCTATTTTTACAAATAAAAATGTTTTATTATCAAATAAAGTATCATTTGAACATATATTTAGGGTCGTTAACCTGTATGCTATGTCTGTTTTACTATTTTATACATATTATTTTCGAAAATTCTAAACACAAGTGATACTGTCGTATATTTGTTAGCAGATTCATTAAAAATATACAGCAAAACTCGTTTAGTACCAACATGGATATTCCGAATTTACGGATATAATGAAGTTATCTTGGATCACCAGCTTTATAAATTTAACGTCTTTTTATACGGGTATAATGAGTTACGGATATAGCGAAGTAATTTCACATGTCCCAGTGATCATGATTTCGCTATAGTCGAGTTTTACTGTAATAGAAAGGTCATTATAAATCAATTTATTGCAAAGGCATTCCCTCTATATCATACCAGTTTTTTACATGTAAAATCAATAAGATTGATTGATTCATTTATTGTGTATTGTTTAACGTACCATTCGAGAATTTTCCACTCATACAGAGACGTCACTGTATTCCGGTGAAGGACTTTAAATTATGACCTATACTCGGCACTCCGGGCCATCGAGCAGTGAGGGTTCTTCATTGTGCCAACGCCTACAGTGATACTGGACCTGCGTTTTTAAGGTAATATCCGAAAAACCCGTAACTTTCACTTCTTGTGCCGAGCGCTTGGCGAAGGAAAAATCGCTACCCATGTTTACGTCTTAAGTTTGACGTGGCGCTGCAAACGAAAATCGAACCCGGGCATCCCGATCACGAAGCGAAAAAATCAATAAGAATTAACGTAATTAAAAAGTGATCCAAACCTTAAGAAAACTTGTAAGTAAATTAAAATATACAGTAAAACTCGGTTATAGCGAAGTCCTGGGGACCTGTGAATTTAATTCGCTATATCCGTAATTCGTTATATCCGTATAACGAATTCGTATAACCATTATAACGAATTCGCATTATGCATGTTTTCTTTCAAGTATTACTACCAACTATGCAAGTGAAGCAAATATTACAAAACATACCTTCGATAACTAAGGTTTTACATGAATTGAATTTTATATACAAATGCTTAAAGGAAATACAGTAAGTTAAACTTATCATTTTTTATAATCTTTGAAAGTTCGTTATGAAAGATGTAAATTTCATTATATTTAATCTCAACGGGACTCAAAATCAGTTCGCTATATCCGTAAATTCGTTATATCAGAGTTCGTTATAACCGTAAAATTTTACAAGGATTTATTAAGAATTTTGTCGGGAACCCAGAAAAACTTCGCTATAACCGTGAATTCGCTATATCCGTGTTCGTACTAAACGAGTTTTACTGTAATTAAAAAAAATAATAATTCCTATATTACATGTAATTAACAAGTAAAAATATTCTATCTACAGTCTTACAATTGTATGTTTTTCATTGAATTAGTGGAATATATACATGTAGGTTCACTGGACTTTTTACGAAGTACATATAGTGTTGAAAAGAATTATAGATTAAACTAAGATTTCTAACTTTGTTATGCTTTTGCAATATAAGAATTTATACATTACCTCAATATTGCATGTGAATTTGAAAACGTCATGTGCCTCTGATATCACGTTACATATTTAAATAAAAAAAGTCTAAAGTTTATCGACACGTAGATTTGAACATTATATTTTTTCTGATAACAGTAATCTTTTAAAAAGAATCGCCCATTCTAGTAAAGAATGTATTTTTATATTTCGATTTGACATCCTATAACACTACTACGTATGCAGTTGATGAAAGTATATCGCATCATAAGTAATGAAACTTGTCGATTGAAAAGTTAAAGTACCTCGGTAATGTTCTTTTAAGGACAGATGATACAAACAATTTTTTTCTTTGGAGGAGACTTGATATCATGTCTAAAGTTTAGAAAAGTGGATATTTCTTAGATTTCTTTTCTCCAAAAAACTGGAAAATGAAATAAACTTGGAATATTTTAGTAACATTTCAATAAAATTAAAAATATGGATAAAACACACTCTGTAAAGGTTTACAGATGAAAATACATTTTAGAATATGTTAAATTGGTGCTAAAAGTGTAAAATATTCTTTAGAAAAGTATATCAAGCCAGGTTAATTTTATCAGGGAAAGCAAAACAGTAAAAATTAGCGAATATGATATTGATGAATTTTTGTCATTTTGTTTTTCTTACTAAAAATCACCTGGCTTGGTATATTTTTCTAAGGTTTATATTGCACTTTTAGCACCAAGATAACATACTCTGAAATTTGTTTTCACCAGTAAACGTTTACTTAGTGTGATTTGTATGTTTTTGTTTTTTTATTGAAATATTACTAATATTTTCTAAGTCTATTTCATTTTCCAGTTCTTAGGATAAAACATTCTAAGAATTATCCACTTTTCTAAACTTGTGACATGCTATTAAGACTCTTCCAAACAAAAAATTTGTTTGTATCATCTATCCTTAAAACCAGTTTAGGTTATATAGATAATTATCTCTGCTTAATGTCAACTCATGCCGAGCGATATTACATGTATACCCGCTGTTTGTGGGATAAAAATGTGGGTTAAGATTACACACATGATATATTTAACCCAAAATATGTTTCCATAAAGAACAAATATAAACTATGGAAACAATAATTTAAACGGTTTCATTTGAAGTAATCCGCTAAAATTTCAAGCCAGAGCTACATGCGTAGGTTCACTTTATGCATAAAATTGCCCTGTATATACCTATTCATGGGCTAATTTTCTATGTTCTACTTTAAACATCAAGATAAAATATAGACTTGATGCTTTCATTTCCAAGTAATTTTTTTTCTCTGGAATGTTGAATTATAGGAAAACATGCTCTTAAATTTTAATGTTCCAACATTTATTTTTAAGAAAAAAAGGCGTATTCGAGTACATACAGATAAAAAAATAATGTGAGTACGACCCTCGAACCCAGAAATAAAACATATCTCGGATTCCTCAAAAAGAGTTCTATAATTAGATCTTTACATGTTTTAGATCAGAGGTTGCCCTGTATTAATAATATCGGAAAATAACTTCAAAGTTCTGCCGTTTTAGTAGAATTTTTCGGGTTATGAGGAAAATGCCGCGATTCACGATATCGGAATGTATTTACTAGCGAGAAATTTACGTCATTTTTGATAGTTTTTCAATCGCCAAAGGGCTAAATGATTTTCCATGCATTATCAAATAAAACTTAGCAGTTTCCAGGGCCAAAAAATGCC